GGATAATCCAGGCCCAGGCGCAGGCTGTGGCCCCCTCACCAGGCAGGCCTGGCCTTCTCATTTGGCCCCTTTGCCTTCCTCTCCGGAGGGACATTAGCCAGGTTCCAAGTGACTGTCGTTTTCCTGGCAGAGGGCAAGGGGTTTCCAGCCCATACTCTCTCTAGCACCCCTGCCCCCAGCAGAAGCTCCCAGCCCTGTCCTTTGTCCAGGGGCCTCTGTGGGAATGATGCTATTGGTATCCTCGGGGAATGTCAGCCTTGCTCCTAAAAAGGCTTGTGTAAATCAGATTCCTATTTTGAATGCCAGAGACTTGGGGTTTTTCAAACAGACGTGGATCAGCTTCCTTCAAAGCACTGTTTTACTGTGTCTCTTTGGTTATCAACTGTCCCTCCCCTTCAGGCCCTCTGTTTTGAACCCCTGGGTCCTCCCACTCCAAAAATGCATCAGCCTCATTTTTTCCCCCTCACTCCCTTGTAAGCCGCCACTCTCTCCCTGTCCAGAAGACATAGATGCCCAGAAGAAAAAGCTATGGATTTTCTGTAAAAGCACTAGCCCTGTCACACCAGGCAGGCCTGCCAGGAGGTGGAGAGAGTCCTGGGCCAGCCAGATGACAGATGGTGGCATTTCTAAACTCTTTTAGGACACGTTTCCTACATTCTGGGTGACAGTTTCTCCTTTTGGATGCTTATTTTTTAGTGTTTGATTCAGTAAAGCAATGTTGGGTTTAGCCAAGAATGTTGGACCATCATGGAAATTGCTGGTGGGGGCGATGCAGGCGTGCTGGGCAAGGAGTGGAGAGTGCTTTAAACAAGCACAACAGAGGGAAAACGGTCTTTCCTAATGGACCATTCGGGATGGTAATGCACATTACAAAGAGTGTTTTGTAAAGATTCCCCTCAAAATCACAGCCTGTTGGAGCCATAAGGAACCGCAGAATTCTCTCATCTCTTCTTTTTGTGAGAGGCACAGAGGGGCCCACTGACTCATCCAAGGTCACAGAAATAAGTGGTGACTGAGCCAGCACCGTGTCCCAGACAGTGCACTCCCGGGCCAGCATCTGCTCATCCTGGGAAGGAGAAAGGACGCAGAGAAGGAGGCGCGGGACATAATACCCTGCAGCAGACAAGACTGCAGTGCCCTTCAGTGTCTGCTAAAAGCTAAGGACACCCCAAGGTTTCCTCTAAATCAGGGGTTCTCTGCCTCCAGCATGCATCGGAATCATCTGCAAGGCCTTTCAAAGATAGAGACGTGGGCCCCCACCTGACTCTGTAGTGTGTTGTTGCTTAAACTCCCCCAAGCCAGGATCGAGACCCACTGGTCTGGATGGAGACCCTGCAGTGGATCTCACAGGAGGTGATCCCAAGAATGAGATCCACCACCATGTTCTCAGGAGGGCCTTTCTTTCCTCAAGGTATTGGGTGACAGGCTGTACAGATGTGCGCTGCAATTTCACTTTTTAAAAATTCTGAAAGCCTTTAAACCGAAGGTTCGAGCCCTGGGCTGCACACTGGGACCACCTGGGAAGCGTTTAAGGGCCCCACTGTCCAGACTGCACCCCAGACTGGATAAATCAGAATCTCCAGGGGGGGGACCCAGGCCTCAGCATTTGTTGAAGCTCCCCCGGTGGTTCCAGTGGGCAACCAGCGGTGAGGGTCAGTGCGTTAGGGCAGGGCGCTCCCATTGGCCATAGCCTGGCGCCCTCTGCTGGGTCGACTGTGCTCCTGGCCCACTCCTCTGGGCATTTGAGTGTGCTGCCCCCGGGGGTGGAGGATCGTGGGTGTGGAGAGACAGCGAAAGTGCAGGCGGCACTGCCTCCCAGCTGCAGGGTGCCAGAGCGGTGGCTCCAGCACTGGCTCTCACGCCACATCAGAGCATCCTGACCATCGCCAGCTGATGCTCCACAACAATCTTCTGTGGGGCAGACTCTGGGCTGGGTCCTAAGTGGAACATGTGACTTAGTCCTGCCCTAGAAAAATTTGTCATCCAGCAAGAAAAATAAGACGTGCATGTAAAAATAATTGCTTAGATAAGGCAGAAACTAGTCAATGCCACAAAAGCAGTAAAAAGTAGGTGTGGTGTCATATAATTCTCAAAAAGGAAAAGTGCCATTGACTTCTAATTTGCAATAAAGTCTCACAGCCCCGAAAAGTCCAAAAAAGCATCTCATTCACTGTCAGTGGGATGGCGACAGCTTTTGTTTAGATGAGTTACTAACCCCAGAAAGTGTTAGTGCCAACCCCAGTGGCACTGCTTTCCAGGGACGGAAGGCCTGGGGTGTGTTGTCCTCTTACTCAGGAAGACAGGCTTAGGTCAGGTCAGAGGTGACGGACTTCCGAGATCATCTGGTCTGACATGGAGAGGAGCTGTTTACCCCTGGCCCAGAAAAGGGAAGCACTGTGCCCAAGTTACACAGCAAGGCAGGGGCGGCCAGGGCTGGAGGCCGGGCTTTGACACCAAGCCCAGTGGGCTGAGGAGCTCCGGACGAGCGAGATTGGGTCTTTGGGTCTGGTGGCTATTAAACTGTGGCAGTTCCTACCTGCCCATGCCTGGAATTCCACCATTAGTGCTTCATTCTTCTGTGCCCCGGCGTCCTCGCTCTGAATGCAGAGGTCTCTAACAGGAAGAGCACACCACATCCTTAATACAATTCCCAGGTAGGTCACCTGTCGCTCTCAGGCCCAGAGATTTTATCTCAAAATGGTTTTCTCCTTTCTGCTGGATTTACTACCAAGAAGTGGGAAGTATTAGAAGGCTGGGGTCGTGTCTGCCCGCGAGGCCAAGTAGTTGTTAGAGCTGAACAGAATGCATGTTCTAATTTGAGCTATGGAAATTTAGCTCACTAAAATGACACCGTGAAGTGGGGGCGTTAGGAAGGATTACAAACCACTGTTATCAGGAATTCAGACTCCCTGTGTGCTGACGACCATCTAACCGTGTAGCCCACCATGGAGAAAGTGGCACAGCCCTGTGCGGGGGAGAGTCAAAAGGCAGGGCTACTGGCTGGACAGAGACCTGATAGGCCTCATCAGCATGACAGCTAACACCCATTTAAGCTTACTCCCTGGCAGGCATTCGTCTAAGCACTTTGCATATATTAATCCCACACGAATACCGTCCGTCCGTGGTTGTCTTTACAGATGGAGACATTAAGGCACAGACAGATTAAGTAACTTTTCCAAAGTCACAGAGCTAGTAAGTGCCTCAGGTAGGATTTAAACCCACACAGACTCCAGGTCTGTATGCTTAGCTATTGTGCTAACCTTCTCACAAGGAGAAGCCTGGTTGCCCCCTGCATGCGTTGGCCAGGCAGGCTGTGTCAAGGAGGGACCCCTTCTCCACATTCCCAGCAGCACGGGGAGGGTGTCCTCTCCCACTCTGGGCAGTGGGTGCTAGGGCAGCCATGGGCGCTCATGACCCAGGGGGCTCTGCCACAGCTGTGTTTGAGCCTCAGCCCCAGCGAGAAGCCCTGAGCCCTCCCAGAGCTTCTGCCTAATCCCCCTCGGTCTTCCCGTGAACACCCCCTGCCTGGGCAGTTCTCTCCTTGGCATCCCAGACCTCCTGTCCCTTCCAAAATAAGATAAGAGAGGTTCCCCAAGGAGGCAGCCTGCCACAGGTGACCCCTGGCTCCTCAGGGCCTGGAGAGAAGTGCTGAAAACAGGACCAGGAGCCTGCAAGGCTTCTCCTCCCTGCACTTGCAGCTCCTCCAGTTCCTGCCCCAAGAAGGCTCCTTGTCACCATGGTCTGCATACTGGAGCCTCTTGGTCTTCAGGTCTCTCCTGCTGTCCTGAAGACAGGCTGCTCTCCATCAGGACAGCTTTAGGCCAGGGTCATGATGCTTCTCTGGCCTCTGACAGCCTCACCCAGGCCACCCCCAACAAACACACAGACATGCACACGCACGTGCGCTTTTCCTGGATCTGTGCGTGCCCATCCCCCACAAGCCCAGACACCAACGAGAGCCTGTTGTCCCTGGAAATAGCATCGGGGGTTTATCCACCAGGTCATCTGGAGAACGTATTTGGGGTGACTCGTGAGGCTGGACAGCCTAACAGGACAGGAGCGGGTGGCAGGGAACTGGGGAAGTGGGCCAAGAGGGTAGGCCTGTGCAGGATGCTAGTGCGGCGCAGCCTCCTCCCCTCCTGGAGATTCCCAAGGAGGCGAGGGTGGGTTGTGGGGGCCGTGGCCCTGGTGTCTCGGATGCAGTGTGGGGGTGGCAACCATGGAGCTATGCCGTGAGGGCTGTCAGCTGGCCCATGCCTTGTGAGGGGCAGACTGGGTGGCTCTCCTCCCCCGGCCCCTCTTCTCACACCTGTCACTCTGCTTGGCCCCGTTTTGATGGTTGAGATTAAATTCCAGTCCTTAGCAGTGTTTGATGCTCAGTCTCCAGCAGGAGCCTTTATCTAAGATTAAGGATAATGGATTTCCTTTCTTGGATAAGTTTTTTTTCTTTCTCTTTCTCTTGGACTTTTTGTCCAAAATGTGCTCAACTCCAGAAAATAGACCTTTTGTTAAAAATCTTTTTATTGACTAAACTTCCCTCCCCCAGTTCTATCTCCCTACCTTTCCCACCATGCACCTTTTTGTGCTTCCAAGGAAACCTTCTGTTTCAAGTACAGGGTGAGAGAGTACAAAAGAATAACTTGACCTCGCTTTCCTCCTCGCCCACTTGCAGCTCCTTCAGGTGCCCTGAGCCCTGCTCTGGGCCTGCAGCCGGAGGCTAGTGTACTGAGCCTGGGACAGGAAGAAATAACTTGACTTCTTCCTTATTTTCCTTCAGCACTTTGCGCCAGCACCACATCTTCAGAAATCTAGATCCTGCCTGGAAGAAATGGGGAGAGGACTTGGTGGGGAAGTCCCTTCCTTGGTCTCCGGCAGGGTCCATTGCCCCCTCCGGGGGGAGGGAACAGCCTCCAGGCGTGCGCTGGGAGACCCATCCCAGCAGCCAGGGAAGACCGTGTACATTTATTTCACCTGGATCTTTCTTTTTCCCCCTTCAACAGCCCTATTACCATATTTAAATGCAAGTATGTCTCTTTTCATTGGCATTTTAAGTAGCTTAGCCTGACCTTTTTAGAATAGCTTGTTCCCTTTTGAACTTCTCCTCGCCACCTCCTCCCCAGTAGTTCCGTGTAGCTAGGACAATAGTCTTAGAGTTTAGTGAGCTTCTAGTTCGCTGTGTTTGGGGATGGCTCTCTCTGTCCTTTCTTTCCTCCTCCGCTCCCTGCCCACCACGGTGCATGAGTCCCCCCTCTGTCCTGTAGCATTTCCTTATTTGGAAGGCTCGATGGCTAAAGCTGAGCAGCTCTGTTGGGCTGTTTGTTGTTTGCTGCTGGCTTCTGGCACATCATTTAAAACCACAGTCATTGGAAATGGGTCTTGGGATCAGGTCTCCCAGTGTCTGGCCGAATGGCAGAGGGAGGTCGTTTCACGTGCGTGGGAGAGTGTCTGTGTGTGTGTGTGTCCCAGTGCGTGGCTGTGTGTGCACATGCTAGTGGCCAAGAAAAGTCCAGAGGAGGGGACTCGCCTACCTCTTCCTTCACCTGGACATTCTGCAGCCACCTTGGGTCACCTTGTCCTTCTGACTTTTAGTCCCATAGCTGGGACAGCCTTGCTGCCATGTGCCTTATTGGACAGCACAAGCCTTGATCAGGAAGTTTTTAGATAGCACAAGGGCTGGATCAAGACCCTTAGGAGACCTTCACTGCCGGCTTGAGCGGGACAATGGAGCTCAGGCAGAGGAGGCAGAGCTGAATGCCCCTGATTGTGCCTCAGGAAGTTGAAACGCTGAGAGAGATCAAAGCAAGCCACAGGGCTCCCCCACGTAGGTCCCACATGCCCTCCCACAGCTGGCTTCACGCGGATGCAGTCAGCGGGCCCTGCAGAATGCTTCGCCCTTAGGCCTGGGGCTATGACACTGCTGACGTGAAGTTTGGACAAAGTCTGGAGTTAGGGTGGTCAAGCAAACCTGCAGAGCCTTCGGGGAATGGCAGGAGTTAAGCCGTCACCTGGCCAAGGTGCCTGTTCTGTTAAGAGGCCGTCCCAAGGGCCTCCTGCCTGTGGCGCAGGGCTGCCCACTCCGCCAGGATCCCTGCAGGCGAGCCAGCCGTTCTTGGTCCTGCTCTGGACAGGCGCTGGGGAATCACGGGGTGTCAGTGCAGGGTGCAGGTGCATCAGGGAGCTCGCCCTGGTTCTCCAGGGACGTTCCTCCTAATCCTCTGGAATTATCTTGATGTGCCTTCTAGAAGTAGTTTCCGGGGTGACAAATGTGTGAGAATCAAACACACCTAAAGATGCTGTGCCTTCCAGGAGTCTGAGAGCCACTGACCTGTGTCCCTCCCAAAGCTGCCCGGTGGGGATGCCTTTCCACTCCTGTCTTTTTGTGGAGGGGTAGGGGGAGTGAGGCTGGTGAGACAGGTCTGTCCGTGGCCCTTTCCAGGGTCCCTCCTTGACTCCAGCTTCTCTCTCTCTCTGCCAGGCTTCCCAGCAGCGGCATACGGACCAGTGGCGGCAGCAGCGGTGGCGGCAGCAAGAGGATCAGGTAGGAAGGTGTACGGGACAGGCGGCTCCCAGGCATGCCCCAGTGTGCAGGGGAAGGTAAAGGCCCTGTTGGATCTGTGTGGCTGCGTCTGTCCACTCCTCTCACCACAGCCCGGAGAGGGGGGCAGGAAGGCACGGGCGATGCCCTGCCACCCAGGGCAGCTCCCAGGGGGGTCAGTCCCAGGACCACAAACCAAACAGATTGTTATTCCCTCATTGAAAAAAGAAACATGAATTTCTTTTTGACTTTGGTTGGCCCCTTCACCTGATGGCCGGCTTCAGGGCGCCTGTGGTCATTTCCCTCCTTGGCTTGGGCTGGTTAACCGGCCTCCCTCCCTCGGGTCTCTGAGCCAGCCAGAGAAGGTCTCGACTGTGAGAGGGAAGCTCAGAACCCATCCACGCACTACCGCCCTCGGAGCAGCCAGCCCTCTCGGTTCCTGCTGCACCTGGCAGGTCGGCTTGCCGATCGGCTAAACCCCCAGAGCTTGTGAAGGCCAGAAGTGGGGCCAACCCTGACCTCAGTGGAGGGAGCTGCTGCCTCCCAAAACCCCTATTGCATCCCAGACACTCTCTTCTTAGCAAAGAGCAGAGCATTCCTGGGCTCCAGCCACCAAGGGAATCGGGATGTTCTGTCCCATGAGGTGGCCCCTGTCGTTTGGTTTCCAAATCCAACCTTTTAGGAGGTCTGGAACCCCTCCAGGGAGGTGGGAACACTTTCCCAGCAGCACTATGGGGTCAGGCTGGCACTGGGGCCTTCTGTCCCTCTCCTGCAGATGCTCACAGGCTTCCTAACAAGGAGGGCTTCTGCTGTGTGCTGGGCTCCCCTCACCCCCTGGCCAGGAGAGGCCCCTGCTCTTCCTAAACTGAGTGACCATGGTTTGCGGCTCTCCTGCCACACCCTGTGCACAGGGTGCTGGTGCACCCAGAAAAGAGATTAGTTTAATGTACCGGGACTCGGGCGGGGGGGAGGGAGGTGTCTACGAGGCACCAGGAAATGGGGCATTAAAAGCCCAGAGGGTGATTGCCAAAAACCCAAACCCTCGGTGATAAGAAACTGGCACTGTGAGGCCCATTAGAAACGTCAGTAAAAATCCGTTCCATGCAAACTGGCACTGCCTCGAGCTACAAAGGATCCTCTCCTCGGAATCACCCCTGAGAATTGGTTTGGAGGGGCCCAGGGAGTTCTCCGGGGGCTGCTGAGGGGCAGTTTGCCAGAGAGCTGGGCGGACCGGCAGGCAGGTCTGGAGAGCTGGGCGCCCATCCTCAGTGGGATTCTGCCTGTCCTGGCCGGCCTCCAAGGCCTCATCTGCCCTCTGGCCAGTGTCCCTTGGTCCCCCCTGCCCGGGGCGGGGTGCACAACTGCCTCGTGTCTCCCCGTTCCATTTGGTTTTTTAACTTGAGCGCTGTTTGGTATCATTATAAACGAGCCTCTGCCCTACCTGTGCCTGGTGCGGGGACGACAGAAAGGAAACTCTTGAGATTTTTGAGTGTTATTGGTTGTTGTTTTCTCCGTTCAGTTTTTTTCCTATGATAACTTGGATTATGAAACTAAACTTTAACCCAAAATTAACCCTGCCTCTCTCCCCACCCCACTCTCCTTGACTCCATGGCAAGTTTAAAGGGCAGCATGGGGTTCTTTGCGAGTCTGAGAGTGGTCTCCCCATGGTCTGTGCCCCCTTCCACCACCCCCACTCTCTCACAGATCCCCAGAGCCAGGCGGGAGCCCCACCCATCCCCTCTAACTCCTAACCCCGAAGATCAGAGCCATCTCCAACCACGCTTTTTGTTTCAGGCTCAGTGGTGTTTTATTTGTAGCCATTTCCATCGGGAGCCAAGTCTCCCACAGGCCGTTCTGGGTCAGCCATGTTCATCGCTGCACTGTTAGTGAATTCTATTCAGGAGTGTGCTCCCTGACCACCTGCCCCACACCAGCCTGGGTTAGTGCAAGGAGTAAATCCTCACCTCCGAGGTGCCCGTCCCCTGGGGTGCAAGCTTGGTCAGGAAGCTAGAGGGCAACCCGCAGTGCTGCCTGGGGACAGGGCTGGGGTGTGCCCAAGGGCGATGGCTAGACTGGGCTGCTGCAGTCTGAACTCCGCTGGGGCTGGCAGACACCTGCCCGCCTGTAGACAGGGTAACCCGGCCCACACCCCCTAAGCCCACTTTGGACCTGCAGCAGGGTACAAGGCTGGGGAAAGAGGATCTCTGCCTGTCTTCCTTTTAGTGCGTTTTGGCCTGTAAAGACTATCCCCTCCCTTCCTCTAGAAAATGACCTGGATTCTGAGCCTGGCAGGATGGCTAATTATTTGCCTGTTGCAGTGGCCCCTCGGTGGCATCTGGCATGTATGTGAGAGGGCCACACAGATATGTTTGGGTTTGTACATCCGCCCAGGCCAGCAGTAGCTCATTGGAGGGCTCATTGCCCTGTTCTACCTTCACCCACTCCTGCAACCCTGCGCCCCCATCCCAGCTCCTCCCAGGGGACGAGGATACTCCTTCAGCCTCCCGAACAAGAGCAAGCAGCCTCGGCTATTGGAGGGCATCACTAGTTCAAATCGCATTCCCTTATAGGGAGAAGCTGGTTCAGGGAGATGCTGTGGTGTACCAGCCTTGAGCTTGGTACCGTGCTGAGCCTGGCAGGGAGTCAGAACAATGGGAAAGGAAGCCTCTGCTCTCAGGGCTCTCAGGCTTGGTTTAGGCAGTAGGCATCCTATGGAAGGCCCTTTTTTGGTCTTTCATTTTTGTCTAGCTCCACAGTTTTGTTTGGTTTTTTCCTTCCATTATGATGCACTGGGGGAGCTTCCGGAGGCAGAAGCACCTGCTGAGGGCCGTGGGGTCGGAAGCAGCTTCGATTTTGCTCAGGTTGGCAAGTTGTATCATCAGGGCTATGGTGTCAGGTAGGAGGTCCGGGGGGCCTTGAGCTCTGCGCCCACCTCAGCCGACTCCTCTGGGCCAGCCTGCCCACCTTTTCCTAATTCGCCCAGGTCCTGAGGGGAGCAGGGCTCAGGGGACCCGCCAGGGGAGGTCCCTGCCGACTCCTAGATAACTTCACTATCAGTGGTCACTTTTCTTTCACCTCCACCCGGTAGTTTGAAATGTCATCTTTTCTTGTGCTCAGTCAAGACTCTGTTTGTTTATTTTGATCGTATTCATTGAGTTCCAGTGGCCCCATCATGTCCCACCCAAACCTAAGTCCAGTTTGGCAAATGACTCCCCCAACAGGTGAGGGGAATGGTTCGAATTTTCAGGCTACTTTATTTCCAGGTGACATTACGGGGGGGTCCGTGTATCACTCTTAGAGCTTCTGAGCCCCCTGCCCCCCCTCACCCCCGCCCATCTCCGGCCCCAGCCAGGACCCCTTACTGAACTTTATACTTGCCAGCTTTATTCCAATCTAGTAACGTGAGCTCCTGACATGGTGGTGAGTGTGAGAGTTATGTTTCTGTTGTCTTTTCTCTTGCTTGGTTGGGGCTGCGGTGAGAGAGTGTCTCTGAGGCATCCTTTCCCGCCTCTCTTACACTAGGATCTGCACACCTCCTCTCAAACACTCTTCTGAGCACGCTCAGCGGGAAGGTTTGTCCACACCTATTAATCCTCTCTCAGTGTCCAGCTTCCTGTTAGTACCAGCTGGTTTGCATGTTTTTGCTTGTTCAGATCAAACAGTTCAAGAAACAAACTCATATCCAACTCTCGAGAAATGTCTTTTTTTTGTACACTTTCGTTTTCAATTTTTTTTTTATTAGTTACGACTCCAAAACACCTGTTGTCCAGTAAAACATTTCACACCTCCCCTGCCTGTTCTTAGATTGTATGTATCTGTGGGACTGAACTAAATGCATGCACTGTGGTAGATGTCCTGGTAGCTGTAGCTGTAGTTGTGGAACATGCATTGTTGAGTTGATATTACAGGGCCTCCGACAGCTCGGCACAGCGCGGCTGTCTGAAGGATAGCCTGGGGCACCAGGAAGAGAGGGGGCTCCATGTTTTCAATGTTGCAGAGGGGCTTGGATCCATGTTCTCGCCATCAGCCACCACCACCTCCCCTCACACTCCCTGCTCCCCCGGTCCAGAACTGGGTCACCACCCTCAGCTCTAGCCTTCTTCCCAGCTGAGATCTCTGTCCATAGTGTCCAGCGATAGCGAAAGAGAACAGAACCAGGACGGGAGGGAGTCTTAAAGTTCTTCTCTGTTTTTGTCGTCCTCATGTGATTCTTGAACAGAGCAGTTCATTCCTTATTTCTTGAGGCCTGCCAGCAAGGCCCCTCCGAGGCTCCTCTGCTCCTTGAGCCCTTTGCCAGCTCACATCCAGCCCTTCAAGGATACAGCCCTGGCAGCCCTGTCTGCGTGGTCTCCTCCTTGGGGCGGAGGGGAAATGAGATCCGGTAGGGAAGGGGATTAAGATCTTAAGACCTCAGTCTGCAGGCTGGGGACGCAGTTGGTCCTAGTGCAGGTCAGCATTTGTTCTCACAGTTGGTGGAGGTGGGAGATGCCTTTAGATGAGCTCTCCACGGAGTGGGGGGCAGTCGGGTGAGAGTGGTGACATTCCCAGTAAGGAGATTATTGGCGTAGCTTTCCCATGGGAGGGGCATGAAAGGATGTGGGGAGGGTTGAAACATTCAGAGAGGAGGCCACAGTGTTCCTCCCTCTCCCCAGGAAGACTCCCCAGTCCTGCTGCCTTTGCCCTCTGCTCAGGGGCATGTGCAGTCAGTCGTCTCTCGACGCACTGTCTGCCCTGCAATTAGGATGACAAGCCATAAGGGAGTCCAAGAGGTCTCAGATCTTTACAAGTTGATGGCAAGTGAAGTAGCACTTGTCCCTGGGACCTGCTCCTTAAGTCAGGCTGGTTGGTGGCTCTGGCCCACTGCTGCTGGAGGACACAGGCAGGATCTGAACCTTGAGGGTGCAAGTTACCTATTATGGGAGACAGAAGCCCAGGAAGTCACAGAGTCCATGAAGCCCCCAAAAGAGTGTGAAGTAACAGAGCGAAATGGTAGCTCCATGGAGAGAAGCGGTGCTGTGGAAGTCAGTGGCACAGTTGGGGTGCAAGGATTGAATGTGAGCAGGCTAGTCAGCCACCAGACAGAATGAGGGCCCCAAGGCCCAGGAAGGGAAGTCTGGGAGGAGCTGTCATTCAGACTTGGCCTTCTTGGGGAGCGTGGGGGAGTGGCAGAGGGAAGTGGCTGGAACTCTCAGGCTTTGGGGCTCTTGAAGCTGCAGATTGACCCAGGCCAGGGAGCAGGAGAGGAGGGTGGGACAGAAGGCAGAGAGAACAGAAGATCCTAAATCCTACATGTGGCTCTGCTGGGGAAATGGCTTTGCGCCCTGTGGCTGGATGTCCTATGAGTTTCTTCAGTTCTAGTAGGTAAAACGAGCAAAAGTAAAATTCAGGTCGCGGGATAGAATAAATAGTTTAACTTGAACCATAAAAGAAAATGCTTTGCAGAGGAGAGTAGATCTCATGAAGCAGCCGTGTCCACCCCACCCAGGTTGGGATATTTTCCCTGGACCCAGTGACATTCTTTGCCTCACATGTGTTCGGGGCTGAGGGGCATTAACGATAGTGTCCCCCACACTGTCTTCCAGCTGCTGGAGGGATCTGGCAATTGCTTGCCTCAGTTGTGGCTCAAGCTTTAGGGTTCCCGGTATTGCTTTCAACAAGACGTACTGAAGGTTTGCTCTGTGCCAGGCACCAAGGGATGGAAAGGCACTAACACTTCTTGCCTTCAGTGGCCTGAGAATCTGGATTCCTGCCCCCTGTTTCCTACGAAGCATTGTTTCTGGTGCCGTCAGCTTCATTAAAGAAGGAAAATAGATCAGTGTGGTGCCTTCATTTCTGAAGACGGCTTTTCCTGCGCCTCCATCAGCAGCATCCGATGTGGAGAAAGGGCAGCTGCCGTGTGGTCGTCTCTGCTTTCCCACCCAGCTTCCCTGTGCTAGCCGCAAGCGTCCTCTGGGGGCTGTGACCCCAAGATGGCCCCTCTGTGGGTAGGGTCATGGGGACACCCCCTCGCTGGGATAGAGCCAGGGCAGCAGCCCAGAAGGAGAGCAAATCTGTGACCCGTTAGGACCAGCCAGATTTACCCAAAAGACCTTCCCCAAACACATATATCCCAGTCCACAGCACTGTGTTCTGGGGATGGGCACCTCGTTTCTCAGTTTGTCATTAAAATCTTCATTTCTGGGAGAGCCCAGACTCTCACCGTAAACAGTCCAGCATCGGATTTCAATAACCCCAGTGAATTTATAATAATGTGCAGAGCCGCCTGCCGCTGACCTCAGCTTCATTCATTTTCCAAGGGCTTTTGGACCAACCCTGTTGAGGATAAAATGCATCACCTCTGATCAATAATTTTGTAATAGAAATACCATGCACTTGATAAATCAACTCTAGTGCAATTAGTGACTAGCCTTGAAGCCCAGACCTAAGTAGAAGTTAATCCTGAAGTGAAAGGCGTGGGGGAATGTTAATGGTCTTTTAAATCAGTGGAATTCTTTTCAGCGGGTGGCACCTTGGGCCCCCTGAGCTGGTTGGCCCACGCTCTGCGCTGGCCCAGGAGCCCAGGCCCTGCGGTCTGGAGGAGCGACGGAAAGTGTGCTGACACCCTTGGGAGTTCCATAAGAGCATGTAGGGCACAGCAGAGAGGGGCAGAGGGACTCCCCCTTGCACCCTGGGCTGGGTGGGGGCACTTCAGGGTCTGGGGGGCCCCGAATGCTGGTGAACTCACATGTTGGTGAGGCTCATCAAAGGAGCACACGCCTAGGTGCATTGTGGTTCCTTGTGTCCTGTCTACCCCATGAGACAGGCAGGAAGACAGACGTTTTGGCCTTGTTTTACATGTTTGTTTGTTTTTATGGGAAAGCTGGGCTGCAGAATGGTTATGTGACTTATCTGAAGTCACACAGCTGGTTATCTGGGGAGCAAGGCTTTGGTCAAGGAGACTTGACCTTAGACTTGAACCCTAGTCTTTGGCCACCTTAAAATAGCTCTGTAGAAGAGCTGTGTTTGTTCATGAAGGACTCACCTGCCGCCCAAATGCCCTGCACGTGCAGGATGCTCTGTGAGAGCCCAGCAGCCTCAGCTGCCAGCTCTATGTCAAACAAGAACTCAGGCTCCAAGACCTCACAGTCTGACCTTTCAGATGTAGATTTCAGAACTGGGCCCAGGGCACATCTGCCATGGAGTTTAATTCAGCAGATATTTATTAAGTGTATAACAAGACTAATAATCATTTTATATGGCAGGCACTGTCCTAAGCCTTGAATCAGGATGCTTTGGACTGTATCTGAAAACCCAACTCAGCATGGTTAAATAGCAAAGGAGATTTATTGCCTGACTTCCTGGAACCTCTGTAGAAGAGTGGGCTTCAGGTGTGGACTGTTCAGGGCTCTCTTCCTGCTGTTCTCTGAGCTTTGCCCTCCTCGTTTCCATATTGCCTTTATGTTGGTTTTCCTATGGTGGCAAAATGGCTGTAGCAGTTCCCTGCTTCGCACCACCCTGTCTGGAAGAAGAGGGGATCAGATGGTCCAGAATTCTAGCGAGAGTCCAGAGCTTTGTGCTGCTTGGCTAAGGCTTAGGTTAGAGAGCCAATCACTGAGGGTAGGATCCATCCCCCTCTAAACTGGTGGGAGAAGGATGGATTTCCAAAGGAAAATCTGGGTGCTGCTAAGAGGGGGAATGGGAGACTGATGCTGGATAGACAAGCAGTGAATGCCACCACAGCCCTGGATGTTCATAGTGAAAACAGAGCACCGTCCCTGCCCTCGAGGACCTCCCAGCCTAGCATGGAGGCTCACAGGTACTTACAATATGATGCCATAAGCCCACTACCAGAAGGAGCACAGGAGGATGTGATTAGCTTTGTCTGGGAAGTCAGGGAAGGTTTCCACTTTTCAAGGACAAAAAGGAGCTCCCCAGGAAGCCAAAGGGAACAGCATGTGCAAAGCTACTGGAGCCCAGTTCAGTAGACTGAATCTGAAACCCTGCCAATGGGTCACTCCGGCTGGAGAATAAAATGCAGTGGCAGGGCAGCAGCAGATAAAGGTGGAGAGCGGGGCAGAGCCAGAGCAGGGGCCCTTGGTGCCAAGCTGAAGAGGCTGGATTCACACAAGCAACTGGGAGCCTCGGAGAGGCCTGACACCAGGACCTGACACCAGAGTTGTATGTTAGACAAGACAGGACTGAAGGCAGGGGGACAAGTGACAACTCGTGTACACTGTAAACACTCCATAGCCCAGTAAGAAGTGCTGCGGACTTGTTGCTCTTCCCCATTAGCTGATTAACTCTGGGCTCAAGGTCACGCTGGGGCCTGGGGTAGGAGGCAGAAGTTCAGGCGTGGTCTCTGCCTTCTGTGAGCTCCCAGTCTTTGCAGGAGGATGCAGCACACAATCAGCGAAAGAGGGGGTCTTCAGTAAGACTAGATTCCTGCATGGTCAGAGCACTCAGCAGGCAGGAAGCTTGGACAGGAGGCAAGACCTGAAGTGGGCCTTGAAGGATTTGATTGGGAGGGGAGAGGACATTTCAGGTGAGAGAATTTGGATAAAAGGTTGGCAGTGGGATGAGCAGTGGTTGGGGAACAGCAGGAGGCTCTCTAATGGGCAGTGCGGGTATGAAGAGGTAGAGAGGCTTAAAGAGGTAGAGACAGGCTAGATTCCGGAGGCCTGAGAAGCCGCGTTGATAGAGTCATATTGGTGGGAGAAAGGTTCATATTCTTTTTGGCAGTGGAGCTCAGTAAGGACAGAACCAACTAAGGAAGATGGACCTGGCAGCCACCAGGTCACGGAGCACAGCCTGACCCCTAATCTCCAGGTCCAGGGCTCAGTTTGTGACCTGGAGCAAGGCAGCCAAAAGGCAGACACCGGAGGGCAGGGCGCTCCTTCACGGGGACTCCGCCTTAGTTTCCTGTGACTCACCTTTGCTTCTGCCAACAAATTGTTATTCATTCCCTGCTTGGGGCTATTGGTTGCCATTCCTGTGCCCTTGTGGCAGCCACTACCTCCATCCTTTCTGCCAGCCCATTTCCCTTGGTCCTTGTCTTCTCTCCCTCCATCAAAATCCAGCTCAGACTACCGGGAAGCCACATCTGATTAACCCGACCTGGGCTGCCCCTTCCTTTGCTCTAGCTCCTCAGCAAGATCTTGTGTCCTCAGTCTCCTTCCTGATTGGTGAGTTCTGCTGAATGAAAGGCGGGGTTTTGAGTCCTTGGAAGATGTTTTGCATGTATCTGAGTGGTGCCTGCCTGCCTTCCCCAACAATGTAAACCATCAGTCCTGGAGGCAAAGTCAGCCTCATTCTTAGTATAGTTGAGTAATTACTATGCAATTAAAGCAGAAAATAAAGGGGTCCTTTGTTCCCGGATGCTTATTAATATTAATAAAAAGGTCTCCCCTTTCCAGCTTGGGATCCTGCAGAACAGGAGGTGAGCAAATAATGCTTTTGAACAGCTCTGATGGGCTGTTGGAATTGGATCTGCCAGGATGAGAGCCACGATGACGTCCCCTCTCTGGCATGAATAGGAGGGTTCCATCCAGCATCTCAAAATTCACACCCACCTGGGAGGCCCCTTAAGGGAAGGATATCTTGCAAGTGGTGGATAGAATGCTAGAGACGCTTCCCAGCCAATTTTAATAAAATAATGATAATAGTAATATGTTAATAATGATTCACGTGTGTTATGAGTGAGCCAGCTACAGTGCCAATAGGCCCACCTGCCTTATCCCGTTTAATTCTCATAACCCTATAAAGTAAACACTGTCGTTCCCATTCCCATTTTAAAGATTTAAAAACTGTGGCTTCGATGGCTTGTCTCAGGTGGCAGAGACAGGATTTGTGCCCAGTTCTGTCCTGTCGGATCTCTGCTCTCAGCCACGGTCAGGGGATGCTCCATCGTACCAGCCCTCCGTGCCCCAGGAAAGCTCTGTACCTTTAAAACATACAGTCAACCAAAACCCACAGCTGCTGTCAGCTCCGTTCTCCATGTCCTTCGGGAAGGAAAGAACCCAAAATCATTTACAAGAGGCCTCAGGAGGCATTCTATGTATTTTTTGCTTCTGCTGTTGCAGACTTAACGTCATGGTTCTGTCTGGCTTTGGCTGACATTTCTGATCTGGTTTCTGGTCCCTGAATCCTTTCAGACCAAAGGCAGACAAAGGAGGCCCCAAGGAGGTGGGGTTGGGTAAAAGAGAGCCATTCTGAAGGTAATTATTTGAAAGCAGCCTTCAGCTAAAACAAGACTGAAAGAAGTTAGCCACTGCCCTAAAGAAACTAGGCGTTGGAGCAAGGGAGGGCCTCTTCAGGCAAGACAGACGTTCTCCATTGGGATGAGTAAACATCCCTTCCGGGGAGGTGTGAGGACTGAATCTGGAAGGTTGCTGGGCCACGCAGCCGGGCCACGCAGCCAGGCCGTAGGGCTGGGACGGGATTGGCCGCCCAGTTGCTGGGGCTTTGCTTTGGGCCAATAGCTGTGGTGGGGCGGGGCCGGAGGCGGGAGCAGCAGGCTCCTCGGCCAATCGTCCTGCAAGGAGGCTGGGCTCCTGGTACCATGGCAACCGCGAGCAGGGTCTCATTTGTTTTGTAGATGAGTAATTACTACGCAATTAGAGAAAGCTAAAAATAAAGGGGCCCTTTGTTCCTGGTTACTTATTAATATTAATAAAATGGTCTGTCCAGGTCTGTGGTAAACAATTAGTGCAAACCTGTGTGCCTGTGGTCGAGCCTACTGTAGGAGGCAAAGGCTGCCCAGTCCGGCTTTCCCCTCTTTGTGGAAGTTGTTTCTATCTATGACCTGCAAAGGGTTGGCTTTCCTGGCTGGGGAAGATGAGGCTCAGCCTCAGACACACCGGACCCAGGATGCCCTGGAGTGGGGGTCACTTAGGCACTGAGCCAGGTGGAAGGGTCTGGCAGCATCATCCCAGTCTCCAGAGAAAAGACCAGACAGAAACACAGCAAAACCCAGAAGCACGGACCAGTGTTGGAGGAAACCCCGCATCCAGTTTTGCTGTGTGTCCTTGGCCACGTTGTTTGAGTTTTCTGGGTCTAGATTGTTCAGCTCCGGGTGCATAAATCTTTTAAATCCACTGAGGCAGCCCCCAAGATTTCAGTGTCTCCCTCCTACCTGGGCTTGAAGAGAAATAAATCAGGCTTGGAAATGACTTGCTGGAAGGTTATGCAGTGTTCAGGGATTGGCCCGCCCCCCACCCCGCTTCCTGTGCCCTGGCCTTGGGGCCAGAAACAGCTCAGAAGCTTCCCTTAAATCCCTTCCCCTTCATAAGGGGAGGAGTTGCCTTATGGATTAATCAGATAAGGATGATAAGCAGTTTTAAAAAAAACAAAAAGGGGCATGAGAGCATAGAAGGAAGAGTAGGGAATCGGAAGACCTGGTTCCAGTCTGGCTTCTGCCACAGACAGGCTGAGTGATATTGGGCAAAAGATTTCAGACTGCAGGGTTCTTGGGGACCACTCAGCTCTGTAGCTCTGTATTGCTGCTGTTTCCAGAGTTCTCCATCCCTGTTCATTGGGGACGAAAGGGGTGACAGTGACAGTACCTTAAGATCAGAGAGGAGTTGACTGGAGAGAAAGCCAGGGGCTTCCGAGGCAACTTGGTGGGGATGCATTTGAGAACAGTCCTGCATTTTTTTAATGCATGAGGGCCATGAGAGGGACAGAAATATTTCCAGAATTGTGTATCATTAAAGGAGCCTATAGTCAAATTTGCATCCTTGGGTGGGGTTGACTAAACTAGGGTTTGGTTCTCTGGATGGTATTTATTAATAAAGCCGGACCTGTTGGTAGCTGCTGCCCATGAGCAAATCAGCTGTGAGACTGGGGCCAACACAGTGGTTCTTGAACTTTGCTGAGTGTTAGAATCACCGGGGGAGTTTTAAAAACTGCTAACATCCAGGCCATATCGCAGACCCATCAAATCAGAATATACGAGGGTGCGCCCCAGGCCTCAGTAGTAGTTAAAGTTCCCAGGCAAGTCCAATGTGTAACCGTGGACTCAAGTTCCACCAGGTTCTTGACAGATGTAGAGCCGCACACCATCTCTGTGACTGTCCTAGCACCCCTACTTCAGAAACAGATAAATAGAGCCAAGCCAGGCAGCTGGCCTCAGCCTCCTCCAAGGAGCAGGAGAGCTGGTCCGGGAGCCCAGGGCTCTCCTGCCCGCCATTGTTCCTCCCAGGAGGGCCAGGAAGTCCACCCCTCCAGGGCGGGCTGAAGGGGTCTTTGTCCTCAAGGACAGGCCTGTCCTGGCTGAGATTAAGAGCGTGTACACATAGAACCAGCAGCCCGGAGCAACCATAAACAGGGAAGCAGCCGCCTTCCTGACTGTCTGACGAATGGGGGCCTTTTGGTAAGGTGGGAGTTTGTTATTAAAGACCTAATTAGAAACATGAGAGGGAGCTGAATGGCTCCGTGCTTGGCTAATTAGTGACATGGATGCGCCAGCTTTGAACTTCAAGGACACAGAGCTATTAGCACTTACATCGAAAATGGATTAAACTCCTGTGCCTTTATAATCATTAAAGACAGGCTGCTCAAGTGGAAAGCCTTTTGTACAGGTCCTCAAGGGGCTGCCCCTTGGGCGTCCTCCCCATCCCACCCCGCCCCCTGGCTGCCAGAGCCGCAGGCAGTGTTTCCATTAAATGTGATTGGGCAGTAAATACTGATGGTCCTCGGGCATTCCAGCTCCCGAAGGAGGGCCTCGCAGAATGGAGTGGTCTTTCCAGACGGAGCCCAGCCCTCTGGTTGCATTTTCTGGAGGGGTCCCTGTGAGGGCCCAGGCATGGGAAGGGTTCCTTTCTCTCTGGCAATGCCCCCTCCACCCCACCCTGACTCCAGCAGTACTGCATTCCTGCTTTGTGCCCAGCCTTGTTCTGGGGTGTGGCACAGAGGAGCGTGGTCCAGTCCTTTGGAGAGAGGCAGTGCCCGACCTCAGGGAGTCCCCACTCTGATGGGGAAGACACCTCTACCACCAAAGAGCTCCCAATGTGGAGAGGCCAACAGGGCCCACACCCAGCTGGCACTCTAGCACTGGAGGTTTGATTGCTTCTCCTTGAATTTGCAACCTCTCTGAGGCAAAGAAAGATCCAAGTAAACAGAAGAAACCTCATCAAACTATGATGCAGGGAAGGACGACTGAGCAGCATGACTCAGTTTAAAAAGCAGCCTGGGGGCTGGCCCAGGGGCCGAGTGGTTAAAGTTCTGCTTCCGCTTTGACGGCCTGGGTTCACGAGTTCTGATCCTGGGCACAGACCTACTCCACTCATCAGGCAGGCTGTGGAGGTATCCCACATGCAAAATGGAGGAAGATTGACATGGATGTTAGCTCAGGGCAAATCTTTCTCACCAAAAAAAAAAAAGCAGGGGCTGGCCCCGTGGCCAAGTGGTTAAGTTCACGCGCTCTGCTGCAGGCGGCCCAGTGTTTCCTTAGTTCGAATCCTGGGCGCGGACATGGTACTGCTCATCAGACCACGCTGAGGCAGCGTCCCACATGCCACAACTAGAAGAACCCACAACGAAGAATACACAACTATGTATCCGGGGGCTTTGGGGAGAAAAAGGAAAAAATAAAATCTTTAAAAAAAAAAAAAAAAAGCAGCGGGGGCTGTCCTGGTGGCACAGCGGTTAAGTGTGCACATTCTGCTTTGGCGGCCCGGGATTCGCTGGTTCGGATCCCAGGTACAGACATGGCACCACTTGGCAAGCCATGCTGTGGTAGGTGTCTCATATATAAAGTGGAGGAATGGCAGCAGATGTTAGCTCAGGGCTAATCTTCCAAAAAAAAAGCAACCGGAGTTGCCATCATGTCCCAGTTAGAGCCGGGTTCAATCCTGTCTGAGACGCTTCTGAGATCCTGGGATGGTGGACAGGTCTCCTCATCTGTAACCCAGGGGTAATAAAGCCCATCTTATGAGTTGTTAGCATGAAAAAAGATGGTGTGAAACACCTACCAGTGCGCCCGGCACACAGTAGGTGCTCAGTAGATATTAGTTCTGTTTCCAGCTTGGCACCTCAGAAGCCACAGCTTCTAGAACTTTGTGTCTCTTGCCTCCAGACCCTGTTGTGCCCCTACTCGAATGAGGCTTTCCACGGCCCCCTTTCCTAACCGGACAGTTGGAGTGTGATCCAGTTATTACCAAAGCTTTCGTCCTGACCGAGCTCC